CAAAACTGATGCTCTTAACCACAGTACTACATACTGCCTCTGGCTGTGCCTATTCAAAAAGGACTCAAGAGAATTAATCTCTTGGAAAAACATTTCAAATATATGTACACAAGTACCTTAGAAAAAAAATCAGTGAGGTCTTAAAACACCAAATACATAAAAAGGAAATATTGGTTGGTGCATTACCAAATTGTTATTCCTATAAATAATAATAATGTGTTCTCTCACTGGAATCTTTCACTGGTCAATCATGATCTATTTATCTATCTTAAAGCCTTACCCTATCAGTTTTCAAGACTGATTTTCAAAGCACTAGCCAGTGTCTAGTGTGTTCTAGTGGAATGAGAGAAACAGTCAGTATCCATCCCACTTTATGGGTAATAGGAACAGTGAACACATATCTACCTATCACCACTTGAGGTGATAATCAAAAAAATACAAGTTAAATTTAAAAATCCATCCTCTCATATCTTTGCATTTATAAATTAGGTTATTAAGTATAGACTGTCTGATTTCCTTAAGTACTAAGTTTGACAGCTGCTATCTCTGACATTTCATTTTGACACTTCTTGGATTTTTTTTTTTTTTAATTTTGAAGGTACATCCTCATTCTTTCAAACACATGTTTTTGGCTTGTGATTATCTTTCAAATTTGTTTTTTTAGAGCAATTTTTGTGAAACCATGCACAAGTAAAAAATTTGTGTTATTTTTTAATATGAGTTCTGTCATGGAACCCATGCAGCACACACAGCTCGAAATACCAACAAAGTATATGAGAAGGATGTGGCAAATGACCGCATAGTACGTAAATGGTGCCAGAAGTTCCATTCTGGTGATTTTAATCTTGAAAAGGAGCCATATAGGTGACCTGAGACCAAGGTGAATAATGATGAGCTGAAAGTTGTAGTGGAAGCAAATCCATCTCAACCTACACGTGAATTAGCAGCAAGGTTTGACATTACCATTCCAACAATATTGGACCATTTGAAACAAATGAGCAAAGTAAAGAAGCTGGATAGACGGGTACCACATGAATCAAACAAGCATCAGAAGAGAAATCGTCTCAAAGCTTGCCTTTCTTTGCTGTCACGACATAAAGCCGAACCATTTCTATGCCATATTGTTACGTGTGATGAAAAATGTATTCCTTTTGACAATTGCAGGCGTTTGGCACAATGGTTGGATAAAGATGAAGTGCTGAGGGCCGGGGGTGGTAGCTCACACCTGTATTCCTAGCACTCTGGGAGGCAGAGGCGGAAAGATTGCTTGAGCTCAGGAGTTTGAGACCAGCCTGAGCAACAGCAAGACCCTATCTGTACCAAACACAGAAAAAGGAGGTCTGGTGTCATGGCACGCACCTGTAGTCCCAGCTACTCGGGAGGCGGAGGCAAGAGGATCGCTTGAGCCCAGGAGTTTGAGGTTGCAGTGAGCTACAATGACACCACTGTAATCCACCCAGGGCAACAGAGTGAGACTCTGTTTCCAAAAAAAAAAAGAAAAAATGAAGTGCCAAAACACAGTTCAAAACCGAACATTCATCCAAAAAAGCTAACGGACCACGGTGTCTCTTGGTGGTCCAACACTGGTAATATCCATTATAGCTTCATGATATCTGGTCAATCGAATACAGTAGAAGTCTACTGCAACCAATTGGATGAAATGATGAGGATGCTTGCGATGAAGCAGCCAAGAATGGTCAAAAGAGACAGTCCAATCCTCTTGCAAGACAACACTCAACCACATGTTGCATAAACATCCCTGCTCAAACTACAGCAGCTGGACTTGGAAACTCTATGTCATCCACTATATTCACCAGACCTTGCTCCAACTGACTACCACTTCCTCCAGGCTTTGGACCACTTCTTACAAGGAAAAATATTCAATTCTCAACACACTGAGGAAAACATCATTTGCAGTTTCATCACCACTCACTCTCCAAGGCTTCTTCATTCCTGGCATAAGCAAGCTACCATTATGTTAATGGTAAAACTGTGTTGATAGTTTAGGCACATACTTTGATTAACTGTGCTGCTTCTTGTTTGAGATACCATAAACTAAACTTTTGTTTCGGAATTGGACATTTCACATTCAATGACCTAATAACATTCTGAAGTCTGTAGCTGCAAATCACCAGCAAAAAATTACAAATGAGACTATGAGTTTGACACAAGTAGCACATTCTATCACATACCTAAAACAAACATCTTCTAGACTCCTGGTAAGACCATACAAAATAATACAGGGCTACTTTTCTTCTATTTATGTGCTTTCGACTATAGGAAATAACCAGAGAATAACTTTCTCTTCATATATCGTTCCTGTTCCCCAAATCAAATGCCCTCAGAAGTAGAAATTAAGTGTCTAGAAAAGGATAGCAAATATTTCTGCACAGGGAAAGACCATAAATACTTTAGGCTTTGTAGGCCATATGGTCTGTGTCATAATGACTCAACTCTGCTGTTATAGTGCAAAAGCAACCACAGGACAGTATATGAACAACTCAGCATGCTTGTGTTTCAATAAAATTTTATTTAAAAGAACAAGTGGTGGGCTGGATTTGACCCAGACAGTAAGTAGTATGCTAATCCCTGGATCAAAGCGCTCTTCCAATTCTGTACCTTCCATTCTACTAAACTTGTGAGATAGCAATCAGCACATTATTTCATAGCATTTTCCCTCAAACATTTCTAAGACATTATGCATCTAATTCATATCAAAATGCACACGATGTTTCATGAAGTATGACAAACAAATATTACAATCCCTATCATTTTTAAAGAAAGAATTCCCACAAGGTACTTCACTAACATAAAAACTTAAGAAGTTACACAGTTTTTATAATCTGAACACAATGGCATAATTTTATACTCACGAAAATGAAGTATAAACTCAATATAATGCTTCCTTTTCATTATTTCAATTTATTACTGTTTTTAAAAGAATTCCTTCAAACATCAAAAATGCCAAATTTACTTTAGGTTTTGAGAGCTTAATTTGAATATTACTATACTAAATATTACTATATTAAACTTGAATGGCTAAAGTAGTTTTTAATTACTATTTGAGACCAAATTACTACTGTGGGTATATCAAATGCTTTAACAAATACAGAGATAGCTCTTCTCCACTCTGAAAATACCTGTCAGAAAATGTAGAAAATTTCACTTTTGTTTCACAAAGTATAATAGTGATAAAAGAGAAGGCAAAAGGGGAACATACTGAATTAAAAAGTGATCTGCAAATGCCTAAGGTGGATTAGAGCCAAGGGAAAAGAAAAGTATGAAAACAATTTGGCACATCTTATTTTAGCTATTTTACAGATGGCTAGGTGTATGGGTAGAGTAGAAGTAGGTATAAATAGGTATCGGTTTACAAGCAAATTTACTAAAGAGAGAAATTTATAATTGTAACTATAAAATTTCCACTGCTCTCTTCAAAGACAGAGGTGAAAATTTCCATTTTAACTTCCATTTCCTATTTTCTTATTTCAAAAGATATTAATGACCTCGTAAATGAATGCATACCTTCAGCCCACAAGGTAGTGTTTAATAATAAATGTAACCATAATACTATAATAAGTATTACCCTTAAATGGATGTAGTAAAGTACCTGAAAATAAATTGAAATGTTTCTAAAAGTAAATTACTTTTTAGAAAGGTAATTTAAGTGAGGAAATTAAGTGAGTAAATTACTCACTTAAAATAAAGCTCAAAGGCTCTGCTTTTCTCCACTCAACAGGTTAAAAGAGACCACAAATAAATAAACCCTAAGAGATTCTTTAAACGTAACATATTCCGAAGCTATTCCGAAGAATGAGGTGTTAAGGATAAAAGGTAATAAGCAAAACATATTAGATATGCCCAGAATTTTTGTCTTTTTTTCTATCACTATTTTAAGGGAAATTTTACATAAACTAAGAATGGTTCTCTGTAGATAATATAAAAGGCACATTTAATAATCTCATGCAATTAGTGGAACAAATTTGGGAAATGTCCTTAGTTTAGAATTAAAATAACTGTAAGACATTTTGTAAAATGTCAAACAGCATGTCTGATATATGTTAAGAACTACACTTATTCATGATGTGGGACCCCTTATAACTGTGACTGTGTTAGAACATGTCTTTCAGGAACTTTTCAAATTTGGATGAAGCCAAATATAAGTAAAATCTTCTGTTATAGTAAGTTAAATTACCTGAATTTCACATTTCTCATTAAAAGAAAAAAACCCAAAGTTTTATTTCAAGTTCACCTATAAACGTTTCTTCAATTCCATAAATGAATAAATACTTTAAAAATTACTTACGGTAAATATCCGTCTGCCAGTTCGATCAAAAGTTACACAGTACACTGATGACAAATGTCCAAGAATTCGTTTATGCATTTTCATGTGCTGATACACTGCAGTTGGAACAAGTCGCTCAAGTCTGTATTTCCCATTCAGCTTCCTTGAAAACAGAGTATCCGCTACCAAAAAAAGGGGAGGGGAAAATAAACGTAATCTGGAAATTAATTTTCTTAAATTATCACCCTCTTAAGAATTCACGTATTACAATTTGTCATATGTGGTAAAAATAAAAATGATTTCTAATGTACATGGCTCCTAATTAAAAGTCTTCAAAGTAGTCAGTAAAAACATTATTTCACCTGAAATAAGGTAAATCAGGCACTATCATTCTTACTTTATAAGGAAGCAAATGCAATTAAATGACCTGTCCAAAGTCAGAAAGTAAGGTATGAAGGTAAGATTAAAACCTAGATTTCCTTACTTTCTGGCTAGTGCTCTTCTTAAACCAAAAACATTTTATACATTATTTTCTTTAAAGCCCTCATAGATAGTTTTTCTTACAAAAGCAATTAAAACTAAAATCCAGTGAACTTTCCATCAACCACTAAAACTTGAATACTTTAAAATGACATGCAAAACGATACTTCAAAAAAATCTTTCCAAACAAGACAAAGGAGTAAGTCATTTGCATTATGAAAAAATAAATAAACAAACTGGGGATCTTGCCGAACACTTGTAAAATGATTCCTTTTCTAGACCTCATTAACTCTCTCCTTTCAACTCATTCATTCTAACATCATTCAAGATCTGATCTGTCCCAAAGCTGATATACTGACTCCAGACCAAAATGTCCTCTTCCATCTAAATTACAACTGTACTGATACTTTTACTGATAACTTACAGAGAAGGTGCTCAATAAATATATGTTGACTGATCTGCAGGCACGTTATTAACCTATAGATTAAGGCTTTTTTTTCTAACTGTGACTGCCACCTACATTGGACAATTGGCACTCAAGTTTCTCACTTGAATTTAGTCCCAAAGAAAATAAAATATATATACAAAATACTATCCAGCCCAGGTTTACAGCCTAGCAATTATGCTCTAAAGTTGACAAAACATAAATATCTTGGGTATATTGTAAACATTCTCAGTATTTCTTATTTTAGTCACATTCAATAAATGTTTGGCTCACACTACATTTGCAAACAACAACAACAACAAAAACTTTGGTCCTGCTGAAGAGATACGTAGATACTTTGCAGGTTCTAAAGCAATAATATGTCAAATAATAATTACATTTAATTAGATGTTCTTTTACTACAGCAATTATTTAATATTTTGATAAAGCATTACTCTTGCTGTTAGCGTGTAAGTTCTATGCACAATCTATCCCAACACCTGGGAATGTCTAAGACAAGTTTTGACAGCTGTGAATTAGCATATTTAGACTTAAGCTGGTTACATAAAAATTTAACAGAGACTCAGTAAGTTTCCATCATGGCTTAGTCCCTGACACATTTTCCTTATGTACAGAAATGGCCTGGTAAAAGACATTCTCCAATGCTTTGGCTCCAAACTGATCTGGTACAAGAATCACACAAAACCACAGACATCAACTGTCCTGCCAAATGAGAAATCAAAACATCTTATCCAAATACCAAGGATTACTGACATCTCAGAATCACCTATCTGTTCTTTAAGAAAATATGCTATGCCTCTTGTATACTCCTGGATAGAGCTGGAACGCATTCTACTAAGTGAGGTATCCCAAGAATGGAAAGACAAGCACCACATGTACTCACCATCAAATTGGTATTAATTGATCAACACATAAGTGCACATATAAGAATAACATCTATTAGATGTTGGGCAGGTGGGAGGTGGGAGGAGGGAGGAGGGGACGGGTATATGCATACACAAAGAGTGCAATGCGCACCACCCAAAGGATGTACATATTTGAAACTCGGACTTAGGGGGGGAAAGGGGGACAGGGGCAACATACGTAACCTAAACATCTGTACCCCCATAATATGCTGAAATAAAAAAAAAAGAAAAAAGAAAATATGCTATGATATACGACATAAACACTGACAGTGTTATTTACTAAGATGTACTTTAATTCCCTCTATCTAAAATTTACAAAATTCTCAAAATGTCAAATATAAAAATATTTAACACTGTTCAGATGTGAGAATGATTGTTGGAGATAATTGAAACATGAAAACTATTATTTCTCAGTGATGATCAAGTGCTATATATGTTGAGAATTTTTTTTTAGATGAATTTGTTATAAAGACTATTTAAAAATCAGAGAAGATGAAGTATTTCTAAGCAAAAAAATATCTCCCTTATACAAGGGAAAATATTACTGTTCTCTTAAATAGAAGTCTTACTGAATCTCTGACCCAAACTGGGATTAAATCTTTATTTTCATTTTGGAAGCCAATTGAAAAAAAGAATATCCTTTTCAAAAAGTTACTTTACAGTCAACTTTTCAAGTAAAACTTGCCAGAAACACATTAGGTGAAATACATTTCTAGTTAAAACTATATTCTACACTACCCTTTGTAATGCTTAGCTACCAATCAACTATTTGTATCCTAAAACAGAAAGTACCTAGCAGAGTCCTTGCTCTCAACCAATTTACAAACTGTACAACAGCACTAAAAGATATGACATACAGAGAGAACAGCATGTAGATTACCAGATAATAAGTTAATGGTTCAAACTTTGTAACTACAGGAGTTAGAGAAGAAAATATAAGTATGGTTCAGTAGCTGAAGTACAACTGAGGAGGCTGAATTTGAGGAAGACCTGACCAGATCAAACAGGTAGATAATTTTTACAAAGGTAGAGTGGAGGATCTAGGACTGACATTCAATAAACTCGCATTTTCTTTTTTATATCATTTACATAATGTCTATTTCCCTTACCAGATTTTAAATACCTCAAGTACAGAAATTCTCTTATATTTCTCACAACTCAATGTAGAGGCCTTTTACATAAAAAAGTACATAAATGAAACTTACTTAATAAGATACACAAGATGGTTCATGTAATTTATAGTTTCATGGCAAAAAGGTAAATGGAAATTATTCACTTTCTAAAGAAATTAATAAAAGACTAATTGGATTTTTGAGTAAAAAGGAAATGTCTCGGATTACAGAAACTCCTTAAATTTTATTAAATTAGAAAGTCAATTTTTAAAATGAGCATGGTTTAACAGATATAAGAGGATACAAAGGAATAAGTCCTTTATATGACATTATTATAGTTTTAACCTTAAATCAAGTAACATATATGACTTTGGTTTAAAAGTACATTTATTTTAGCCTACCAAAGCAAATCTTTATCTTTTTCATTTGGCAAATACTTTCTTCTCCTCCAGGGCCAGTTCAAATGTCATCTCTTCTAGGAAGACTGTGGTGAATTTCAAAAGCATCCTAACTGGTTGCCCTCTAATATCACTCTTCTGCTCAAAATTGCAAAGCTCTTCATTTCATTCAGAATTAACACCAACTTCCTTACAGATCAACCTATGAAGGCCCTGCATAAACTTGTTTCCCATAACCTCTCTGACTTCACCTGGTACTTCTCCCCATGACCTGTACCAGCTACTCTCATCTACCCCATTCTTCTAACACACCAGGCATGCTTTTCACTTAGGGTCTTTGCACTGGCTATTCCCTCTATCTAGAATGCTCTCCCTGCATATGGATAATTCCTTGACCCCTGTTCAAGTCTTTTTTCAGATGTATGTTACCTACTCAATGAGGCCTAACCTAATCAGCCCATTGAAAATTGCAGCCCACCTCCTACCATCACCTCTAACTCCTCATCCCCCTTTATGTAACTCGGTACTTGTTCTTTATCCGTCACTTACCACTGGATATTATACATTTATCTGTTTATTATGTTCATTGCTTATTTCTTGTCTCCTCCCACTAATAATATCTAATAAACTTTATATGGGCAGGGTTTTTTGTCTGTTTTGTTCTTTGATTGGCCTAAGGCCTGACAATTGTGGCTGGCACTTAGTAGACAATCAATATATATTTGGTGAATTAAATAAACCACATATTGATAAAACAGTTAGGTTTGGAATAAAACAAAAATGGAGGATATTTTTAATCTGACAAATTAAAAGATCCAAAATATTTCTAAACTGTGCTTCACTGCAACTGCCCTGCTAAAGGGATTTAATGGCGGGCGGAGGGGATGCAGAAGTAAACATATTTACTCAATTTCCTGAAAATAGAACAGTAAATGAAATAAAAATCTCAGAAATCACTGTTATCCATTTGAAATGAGTTAAAGTCTAAAGTAGAAAAGGAACAAAATACTGAAAAGTATCATTTATAGCATATCATTCACAACAGTCTTTGAAACAAAGTCTATGTGCACAAGTCTACAGCATTACTAAACAAAAGGCTCACAATTTCTTAAATGAACTTATGTACATATCTAGTCCTTGGGTTCTAATCTATTACTTCTCTAGACATCAGGATGATAAATCAAATTCCCCCACAGGTAACTTACTCTTCATTCACACCTAGTTATATTTCAAGAATTCATTTATTTCTCAAATCATAATACTAATGCATATTCAATTTAGAAAATAAGAACATAAATGAAAGAAAAATCTATAATTCTAACACAATCACTTTTAAGATTCTGCAAAGGTTTACACTTCATAAACAGCATTTTAACAGGTATGTTGTATTCCTTAATGAAATAAGAGATAAGCTTTAAGTCTGACAGACTTGTGTTCAAGCTTGACACTATGGAGACTTTAAGCAAGTTTTTCCTTCTAAACTTCAATTTCTCTGGTTATATTACTACAGAAACATTTCCACTTTCCACAATATGCTTGGCTTTCACATTATGCTGCTCTTTGATATCCCACAATTTCACAAATTTTAAGTAGTCAATTCTATCAATATTTTTCCTTTCTTTTGTGATTTCTTTTACTGCTTAACTATAAAGTCCTCCTACTTAGCCAATACTACAATAAATATCCACTTATATCTTCTTTTACTTTTTTTGCAATTTAGATTTCTCATTTAACTCTTTAATCCATCTGCAATTTTAATACACCTTGTGAGGTGAGTCTCTAAAGATATTTTTCTCTCCCAAATAACCAAACATTTGTTATAGCCTTTACATTTAC